TTTATTTCTCTAAAGTTTCTCCTTCTGCTTCTGCTCCGATGTTCGTGGTTTGATTCCAAATAAATGCGATCACAAATAATTTATATGTATATTTTAAATTTTGCTGACTTTTCACGTTCTGGCAATTTATATTGTAAAAAAATTATACGTTTCAGTTTTTTTCCGCTTCTTTGGTTGTGACTTTTTTTTTTTTTTTTCGGTTCAGCTGTTACGACTTTTATTTAAATGTCATTGATTCGGGTAATTGTTTGTCAATGTTATTTCATTAGTTTTTCTCTCTCTCTCTCTCTCTCTCTCTCTCTTTAATAGTTTTTATATTGTACTGAGTATAAAGGAGGGCTGGGGAAATTAATCGAAACATTATAATAGAAAAAAAAATTATTATAAAATGAAGGTCAAATTATAAAAATAATTTAAATTTATTTATTTATTTAAATGGCAAAGTGAATTTTCGAAAGGCTACTACTACAATCGTTTTTATAAATTAATTATAATTAAAATTTAGTAGTAGGATACAATTATTATTATATTTTTTTTTTATTGTTGCTTTTTCATTGCGTAAAACTGAACAAAAAAAATAATAATGGGGGGGGGAGGGAGGGAAACATTTTTAACTATCAGAGAAAGCTTTTAAAATTTTTTTTTTTTTTGTTATCAGAGTGTTGTTTTAATGGTTCATGAAGTTTGTCACGATTATCTAAAAACAAATTCTTTTTAATTAGTTGTCTGGAAAACGTGTCCTCGCATTTAATTTTTTGTTTGTTTAAAAAAAAAAAAAAACTGCGTCGATTTAATTCTTTATTAAAATGAAGAAGGAAGTAAGAAATAATAATAATAATAATAATAATAATAATAATAATAATAATAATAATAATAATAATAAATTTTTTAGAACGGGTTAAACCGAACGAGAAAGCTCCAAAAAAAAAAAAAATTAAGAACTTTTACATCTCGTGAAATAATTTCATACGATTTTGTTTTTCTTTTTGTTGTTGTCGTTGTGGTTGTTGTTGTAGATTTCCGCATTAAGAAGTCACCGTTTGAACTCGTTAAAATAAAAATTTGGAAAATTTATTTGGTTTGCTTAAATGACAATTTTTTGAGATTTGAAAATATAAAATTTTGGCAGAATTACGAGAAAGAATGATTGACGTTTTTGTTCATGATGAGGATCTTTTCATTTTTTCAAAGTTTGGAATACTTTCCGTGTTGGTTATTATTATTATTCTTATTAATATTATTATTATTATTATTTTTTTTTTTTTATAGAAAAATTTCAGTAAAAAAAATGTTAACAACAAATTTTTTTTTTTTGATGATTACGGGAATTCCCTCAAGTTTTATGCAAAATTCATTTCGATTTATTTTATCGTCTCCCCTCCCCCTCTCCCTCCCTTTTTATTTTTTTTCCCCTCCAATAGTTCATCGATAATATTATTATTGATTGGTTGTCAATTATTTACTTTTTTTTTGTTTTAAAATTATTTGTTTGATTTGATCGAGAAAACGATTTTCGTACGCAATATTTATTTTTATTCATTATTAACGTTTGATTTGCATCAACAACAACAACAACAACAACCGCAATTATCGATTAATAAATAAACAAAAGCTAAAAAAGTTCGATTAAATTATTTTATTTTTTTTTTTCATTTTTTTTTTTTTTTGGTTTTTTTGCACGCAAAGCAATAAAACAAACAACCTTTGCAACCAATTTCTTGTATACTCTTTCGAAAAAAAAAAAATTGTTGTTGTAGGCTATAAATTGTTTTTTATGCATTTTAGGCTTTTTTTTGCGAATTGTCTGGCGCCTTTTTTTTTTTTGTGCCATCAGATATATATATGCATATACAATTTCTTTTTTTTTTTTTTGTTATCATCGTGTTGTTTTCTTAACTGTAAATCATCTCTGTAAAAATCAACTCATTTTATTTTATGTAAACGCAAAAAAAGCTTAGCAGTAGAAATTAAATAAAAAAAAAAAAAATGCGCAATAGGCAGTTGAAAAAAAAATTGAATAGAAGGTGGGCTCTCTAGGTTAACGATATCTCTATAGCATTGGGTGTGAAATAGGAAATGACGTCATAAAATTAGCCATCCCGAAAGCTTTTTAACTGCTTTTTAACTTTGTTATCAATTATTTGAATTTTTAACGAGAGTATTCAATTTTTTTTTAAAAAAACATTTGTATATTGTTCATCAAAGAAAACAATTAA